AACACACTGCGTCTCTACTACAAAACCAGATCGATTAATGCTGCTTAGGCCAATAATCTGTTTACCTCAGGAATCATACGTACATAAATGAACTGGGTGCAAAATATTAACAGATTATCCATATTAAACCACTGTACTGTAAGGGTCGAACTGGATCATGGATTATGATGGTTCGAACCCCGAGACGTAAGTATGAACATGCATACACAGTTCCATCCGCTGCGAACCAGACTCGTGACTAGAAAACTCTTCTGTATTTATATGTACTATCCTCCAACGAAGAGAATGCGAGGCAAGTGATTAGTAGAACCGACCCACCTTGGCCACTCTACTGCTCATTTAGATAAACATTCAGCTTCAATGTACCAATGGTACGGGAAGGAATGGGCCAAACATGTCGATGTTTTCAGCTTGCATAATACACACGGGCGGGCCTTGATCAATTACCTTGTCCTCTCTCCATTGGAAGATAGTACATGGTCCACAGAGTATGTAAGAAAATATCACTCAAGAATTGAAAGCGTGTACTGCATACTGCGGTACAAGTAATTACTGACGGCTTCTCTAAGTTTACGAAGCTCGCGTACAAATGGGGGAATGACTTCACCAGATGCGCGCATCTGAAGGACGACAATACAGCTTTGCCACGGCAATTCGCACGGTCTTAACCCTTTAAAGCATGATGGTTACTATATGTACCAACTCCATTAGAGTATTCTGCATTCCTCCCACAGTGTGTGTTCCGTATGGTTCTCACAATAAACAGCGATTATTTCCCTAAACAGCATTAACCGGTTGGGCTTTGTAGCGGACACGTAATGTGTTTCCTGTGAGGTACGAACTGATTTTATATATTTCAGGACCCTGCATTCTGCGCAGTGTGTATTTGTGTTCCGTACGGTTCTCAGTGGACACGTCGTTTCCCAGGCAATGATAAAACAACGACAAGGCTGCCGTTGTAGCGTAAGATATGTAAGATAGGCATTATCTGCTCTGCAGAACCTGACTTTCAGAGGACCTGCCCGTAGTGAAAAAGGAAGAACTGTCAGTAACATGCAGTATGTAAGAAACGTACACGTGACGAAAGGCCAAGAGGCAACCCCATCTCGTCAGTGAGGATGTTACATAAGGGCTATTACCGCAAGGGTTCAGTTGAGAGTAAAAAAAAATCTCTGGTCGTGGGTATCAAGGGCCCTGACGCCGCCAAGACAAACTAATTGGCGGTAAACCGCCAGTCGTGACTCTGGCTTTGACTTCGAGCTGATAAGAGTTAAGAGTTACAATTGTGAGAAGCTGGTAACTGAAGCCGAGGACAGTTCGGGCAGCCAGAGGAATGGACACATTCGCCGCTGGAAGCCGCTACAAAGCAACAGCTAGTAACGACTGGAAAAACTTTTTGCTGTAGTTACTGCGATCTTTGGAGTGTTTTAACTCTACTATAATATCGCAGTTATTTGTTGATACGTTCTGTAAGTGATCAATACATCAAATTACCAATCTTAACCCTGTCTATAGCCATTATATCGCGTGGCAATATTACTACTTTCTGCAACTGCTATTTATTCTTGAGTCCGAAAATATCCCAGTACAGTCCATATACTCTACTAACCACAGTACGTCATACATTTTGCAGACAATCTTGCGGAACAAAACTCCTGTGTCGAGACGTCTCAACTTCCCAAAGCGTTATCAACACAATAACTATATAATGACATAACGGTCTACGTCACCAACTGACCATAACGCACCCTCGTCCCCATATCAGATGGAGTATAACAATTTTCGTGTCTGCATGCCTGAACCGTGCGTCCAAAATCTCCACCCTGTTCACTGCTCATCCTCAGCACTTCCAGTCTGCAGACCACTACAAGGGAGAGTAAGTAAAGGGGTCACAAATGGAACTAAAACAGCTATAATGGACGTAATAGGTTTTCTGTGTGTTTCACTAGGTAGCAGCAGCAGCACAGTCCAGCTTCATGACAGTCTAGATAGAAGATGCAAATGCGCATGTTCTGAGGCTGGTTTCAGTAGTCAAAATGGCGAGCGTGTTTGGGGAGTGTATTAGCGAAGAGCAACGTTCTTTTGTGCGTTCTTTGTGTGCAAACGAACTCAATGCAAAGGATATTCATTAAAAATGCTTTCGGCTTGCGGTGGGAAGTGTTTGTCATGTACAGTGGTTCACAACTTGGTGGCTAACGTTTCGGTGGGCCGCGCCATAGCTCAATCGGTTAGTCGTTGGCTTCCCACCGCGGTGGCCCGGGTTCGATCCCGGGGTGTGGTCAAGTGGGATTTGTGGTGGACAAAGTGGCGTTGGGGCAGGTTTTCTCCGAGTACTTCGGTTCCCCCTACCAGTCTTCATTCCACCAAACAGCTCCACAATCTCCCTCACCTATCATCTGGGGCTGGTACAATAGGCCAAAATTGGCCGCAGTACATGGGACTTAGTCCCACCCCACTAGCAATTAAAAAAAAAAAGTTTCGGTGATGACGAAGAAGTTGAAACGGGAGTGGCTGACACAACAGTCAAAAGACTTCTATAGTGTGGGTTTCGATGCACTGGTAAAGCGATGGGGCAAGTGTATCGATGTTGGTGGTCAGAAATGAATTTCGAGAAATAAACGTTTCTCCCCAGGTTCGAATACGGTATGTTTTTATCCATTTGTGACCTATTACTAACTTCGCTCGTATTTACCCCATTAGAGTTATATACATTTCTCCATCTCCTTGCCCCTGAAACTGTTGTCAATGAGACTTTCTCTCGTCCTAACTCAAGCTTGCCTCTCTATTCTCGTCTGCATGTTATCTCCATTCCTAATATTCCCCTAAATATCCCCCACGCCCAGGGCCAATAATGAGAGCAGTCCACTCGTGTCCCGCCCCGTCTGGTCCGGAAGTCTACTGACGCACGTTCCCGTGGCATGCCAAGTGGCCTGCCCACTCCACCTGCGAGTTTCCCAATCACTGCTGTGCTAGTTACAAAACGTCGAGGCAGTGTGTGTATTGAACTGTCTTGTACTCGGGAGGTTCCTGGTTCAAATCTCTGCTCGGATACAGACCAACCTAAGGTTTATCTTGGTTTTCATCAGTCCCTCAGTGCTACTATATCCCCAGCCTATGAGGGAGAGTCGGTAAATAGGTCATGGATGGAAATAAAACAGATGTGATGCGTTTTCTATGCGTATCACTAGGTAGCAGCACAGTCCAGCTTTATGACAGTCTAGGTAGCAGACGCGCATGCGCATGTTCAGAGGCTGGATTCTGTAGTCAAAATGGTGGCCGTGCCTCAGGAGTATCCTATCGAAGATCGGCGTTCTGTTGTGAGTTCTTTGTGGGCAAAAGGACTCAATGCGAAGGCTTTTTGTAGAAAAATGTCTTCTGTTTACGATGGGAAGTGTTTGTCGCGTAAAAAGGTTCACAACGGGGGGGGGGGGGGAAANCAAACGTTTAGCTGATGAAGAGGTTGAAATGGAGGTGCGGGAGTGGCTGAGACAACAGTCAAAAACTTTTATGCTGCGGGTTTCGACGCACTGCTAAAACGATGGGTCAAGTGTATCAGTGTTGGTGGAGGATATGTAGAGAAATAAACGTTTCCTTTCCAGGTTCGAATATCATGTGTTACGTCTCGTAAATCCATTTGTGACCTTTTTACTGACTCTACCTCGTATTACGTCTGTGGCACAGTTTGTTACAATTTTAAAAATTGTGGCAGTTGTGGAACGTCTTGTTCGTGGTGTTCGTGGTGCTTCTCCAGGAAAATATTGTGACATGTCAACGCACTGCCAGGAAACGGTCTGATAAACACTCCGCGATACACGCACGCAATAGAATGAGGTTATGCTACCCGTTTCTAAGCAATGGCTCGGTAAACACACTTCCGCGTAGGCAGTGACGTCACAACAGTGCACAGAGACCATGTGACGCGTTTTCTTTAGGTCCTCCCCGAGGGTTTATAGGGGGCAACAAAAGTCGTTTGAGGGCAGTCGTAAGCTGGGGGAGCAAGTGATAGAAGGGTTTTTAGTTGAGTTCCGAGGTTCCAGGGTGACTGAAGACGGAAAAACGACAAGACTTCATGGTGATTTGAAGTAATAGTTTGTGTTGAGATCCGTTGCCAGGATATGACTAGTGAAGACGGAGAATCCTTGTGTGTGTGTGTGTGTGTGTGTGTGTGCAACAGTGACCGGGAAAGTGTGTAAATCAGCGATAGCTGTGTAATAACGAATTTGTAGTTACGATGTGTGAAATTGTCCAATAAATCGAGTTATCTAATCCCGGACTCATTATTTACTGTAGCGTTACCTAGACACACGTGACAATATCTTGGCATGGACCATGCAGAAACACCCCGTTTCCATTGTTGTAGTCCAACTGTTGCATTATAAAGAATTCTGCTGCCTACTAACTGGTACGTGTTTACCAAGCCGATGCCCAGAAACGGTCGCTGTTTACACTGCTTAGCAACGTATGTATTTGCCACAGCACGATGAGAAACAAACTCGCCATACACAAACCTCGTTCAACACACAAGACTTCAAGGTTATGATGTACTCTCGATGACAGACAGAGAACGCACAATTTTAGGACGTCAAGCGCTTATTAAAATTGTTCCGTCAGACCTCCCGTCCATCTGTACGCGCCAATCAACTCCATAAGAGCAGACTGGATTTTAATTAAATTTGATAATGGAAAGTTTCAATGAGGTCTCTGAACCTACAATCAGACAACAATAAGGGGCACTTAACACGAACACGCATGCGCGTTTCTGTGCGCAACTCGCTACATGTTTATCGGAGCGGAGAAAACGTGAAGCAAAATGGAACGCACACCTCAGGCCCAATACGCTTTCGGTTTCGAGATAACGCGAAAACTCCAGAACTGTTACGCTATGCGCACATTTCCTAGTCTGTTTACTGTTCAATTAGGTAGTCTGCATTGTTACGTAACGATGCGTATCAAAATGAGGCAATGGTTCAATGCAACACATGTTCCCAGGCCGCACTTACCTTCCGGTCGTAGTCGTTCCCTTGCGAACCTGCAGTAAGGGGGCGGAGGTGACTCTGAAACACAAATCAGACACTGCAGTAAGGGGGCGGAGGTGACTCTGAAACACAAATCAGACACTGCAGTAAGGGGGCGGAGGTGACTCTGAAACACAAATCAGACACTGCAGTAAGGGGGCGGAGGTGACTCTGAAACACAAATCAGACACTGCAGTAAGGGGGCGGAGGTGACTCTGAAACACAAATCAGACACTGCAGTAAGGGGGCGGAGGTGACTCTGAAACACAAATCAGACACTGCAGTAAGGGGGCGGAGGTGACTCTGAAACACAAATCAGACACTGCAGTAAGGGGGCGGAGGTGACTCTGAAACACAAATCAGACACTGCAGTAAGGGGGCGGAGGTGACTCTGAAACACAAATCAGACACTGCAGTAAGGGGGCGGAGGTGACTCTGAAACACAAATCAGACACTGCAGTAAGGGGGCGGAGGTGACTCTGAAACACAAATCAGACACTGCAGTAAGGGGGCGGAGGTGACTCTGAAACACAAATCAGACACTGCAGTAAGGGGGCGGAGGTGACTCTGAAACACAAATCAGACACTGCAGTAAGGGGGCGGAGGTGACTCTGAAACACAAATCAGACACTGCAGTAAGGGGGCGGAGGTGACTCTGAAACACAAATCAGACACTGCAGTAAGGGGGCGGAGGTGACTCTGAAACACAAATCAGACACTGCAGTAAGGGGGCGGAGGTGACTCTGAAACACAAATCAGACACTGCAGTAAGGGGGCGGAGGTGACTCTGAAACACAAATCAGACACTGCAGTAAGGGGGCGGAGGTGACTCTGAAACACAAATCAGACACTGCAGTAAGGGGGCGGAGGTGACTCTGAAACACAAATCAGACACTGCAGTAAGGGGGCGGAGGTGACTCTGAAACACAAATCAGACACTGCAGTAAGGGGGCGGAGGTGACTCTGAAACACAAATCAGACACTGCAGTAAGGGGGCGGAGGTGACTCTGAAACACAAATCAGACACTGCAGTAAGGGCGGAGGAGACTAGATCACAAGTCAGACATTGCAGTAAGGGGGAGGTGACTAGATCACAAGTCAGACATTGCAGTAAGGGGGAGGTGACTCTGAAACACAAGTCAGACATTGCAGTAAGGGCGGAGGTGACTAGATCACAAGTCAGACATTGCAGTAAGTGGGTGGAGGTGACTGAAACACAAATGAGACATTGCAGTAAGGGGGAGGTCACTCTAGAACACAAGTCCGAAATTGCTGTAAGGGGGAGGTGACTAGAGCACAAGTCAGACATTGCAGTAAGTGGGTGGAGGTGACTCTGAAAAACAAATCAGAAATGAGTACCAGGAATCTTCCTAGGGGCAAAGGGCGGCCGGCGCGTAAGGGTGACAATCTTACCGCCACCTGTGGGCCGATTTTATAGAAAATGTGGGTGCCTCGACGTCTCACAACAGACTCTACAGCGTCATGAATAATAAAGGATACGGAAGGAACCGGTCGTGAACTAATCGAGGTAGTATCCTGTTGAGAACCATGGGGGGGGGGGAGCCCTCATTCAGTACACCCGGCTTCGGGGCCGATATTCGAACCCAGCACCTACAGAAAACACGTCTAAGTGTGTTATCTATGCCGTCACTCTTTACGTTTTGAAGACACTGAGTGAGAAGAGACAAACGCATAGGCCGACTAGAACAAATAAAATATTCATAAATTTTACGCAAGTTTTGGTGTACTTTCGACACGTTTCATCCTAACATGGGCGTCGGATCAGCTGTATCAGCAAACCGAGTAAGATCAGAGCTGGACAACAGAAAAATCGAGGTTCGATACCTGGCAGAGGGCATTTTTCTCTTCTCCACAGGAACCAGATCAGCTCTGGGGCCCACCTAGACTCCCAGCCAACGGGTACCTCGGGGCTCCTTTCCAGAGATATGTTGCTGTCCATTGTTCGCCCAGTGGAGAAACAGTAAAATTATATTCCACCCCCACGCCCTCCATACTTCTTCGTAACGCAGTAACACATGAGATGGATCAATGGTGGAATGACGATTGCCGGGACAAAATAAACCAAAGAAACTCGCAGAAAACCCCTGCTCCATGATCGCTTCGTCCGCTACATAAACTCCCCTTGCGATTGGACACAATAGGCTTCCCTGCGTACGAACAGTTCGATCTATGTAGTTGTGTGTTTGTGAGGAATGTTAAGAACAAAACAAACATTGTCTAGACGCCATAGTAAATGTGTTTGCGCAGGTAGAGTACGGTAGGAGGAAGGGTTTGGTGGCGTAATGTTTTGCTGATGGGTTACCATGACGCAATGTGATCGAGTATGAAAGTGTTCATAAGATTTGCAACAACTCTGAACGTATTCACAAAGATTTGCAACAACTTAAAAGCATGCTCGTAAGATATGAAACAATTCTTAAACGTGTAAGATTTGAGGCTTTCACGGCGGTGACTATGAAGAAAGCAGACCGTGAGACGGTCTCTTCGCTTGCAGATTTCTTATATTTTTTCCTCTATCCTGAAGATGGAGGCGATACGTTCCTCCGAAACGTCGGTTAACACCACATATACACGGTGCCAAATCCCAGAAGACTGCTTTCTTCAATTCTTAAACGTGTTCACAAGATTTGAAACAACTCGAAAATGTATTGAACGAACATGAGTAGTACGTCAGGAGCGAGCGAGCAGTCTTTTGTTTCAGTGTATCGTGTCAATTATGTAACTATATAAAGGATACGGTTTACGACTATTTGTGCGTGCTGTCCGTCGATGATGGCGTTAAAAGTTGGTGTCGACGCATTATTCGACAAATATAAATGGCTGGCAAGGACATGGGAGAAATGCGGGGAAATATAATAGTTTGAAAGCTCGCCGTTAAAACCACAACGGTTATTCCACGGCGACATGAAGAACGCTTCCTTTGTCGAGTTGAGTCTTTCTTGAGAAGCTAACGGCTCCTCGTCTAGTCAGAAAATTCACAAGAATTATATTTAACCCTAAGGTACATTACTGCGCCCATGACAGCCCGAAAACGGCAGCATCCCGAGCCAGATGAATCGAACCCACATCCTTCCAACCTACTTCGTTACCACTATGCTTTAAGCAAGACGGTCGCGGGTTCGATTCCTGATGTGGTTACAGAATCTTTTATTTCACCTAATCCTTCAAGTCGCGCTATGTCCCTGGGGTCGACTCAGCCTCAAAGAGAAATGAGTACAGGGAATCTTCCGGGGGGGGGTAAAGGGCTGCTGGTGCGTAAGGCTCACCTCACCGCCATCTGTGAGCAGACTGTCTAGAAAATGTGTGATCCTTGACGTCTCACAACCCTATTGGCCTCCACTGCCTGCCTGTTACAGCGATAGCTTTACTTAACCTCACTGCCATCTACGAGCCGATTGTCTAGAAAATATGGGAGCCTCGACGTCTCACAACCCTATGGAACTCCACGTCCCGTTACAGGGATAGCTTTACTTAACCTCACCGCCAACTTTGAACCGACTGTCTAGAACATGTGGGAGCCTCGACGTCTCACAACCCTATTGGCCTCCACTGCCTGTTACAGGGATAGCTTTACTTAACCTCACTGCCATCTATGAGCGGACTGTCTAGAAAATGCGAAAGCCTCGACGTCTCACAACCCTATGGGCCTCCACGGTCCGTTACAAGGATAGCTTTACCTTTACGAGGTTCTCAAACCGGTGGAATATGACACCGTGTAGTCCCGTGAAAGTCACACCGACGTTTCGAAACAAACATCGCCTTTAGATTCAAGGTCAAAGAGCAAGGTTAAGCAAGACTTGCAACGGACTACATGACGCTACATCCCAGAAGACAGAAAGAACTCTTTGTAGTTTTATGGGCTTGACCGTGCTTCATGCACTGTTAAGTGTGCGAGGCCACAGAGATGAGCACCCGAATATGCTTCAATCCCTCTCGACACGTCACGACAGGAAACCAAGTTTGCAATCAGCGTCTGAAAACTGCAATACGAATATATTATTTACCCTTCCCACGTTTCGTGTCGTGACTGACGAGGAGCGACAACAAAGGGCAGTAGTGAAAGCTGAAGGATACTTCCGTGCCCTCGAAACTTTGTTAACTTGTCCCTTAACACAATGCGGCCGCCAAGTACCTACAGACGTCTGGGGTTCCCTCCCCACGTATGAAAAGAGCTCCTTCACTCCCACAAAGCAACAAAGAGAAACACAGCATGCGGGCTCTCCATACATAAACGTATCCTACCGAAAGGGTTACAGCAATGTTCGGTTCAAATCTAGGCCGGAACACCAGATACCCTGATGAAAGTGGCATGTAGGCCTGCTGCTAGGCAACGACGGCGAAACTAGGCAACAACCCGGAAACAGCAACAAAGGGACGGTGTTTTCTGTGCGTTCTGTGCCATTTTCTATTGCTAGTGGGGTGGGACTATTTCCCTTGTTCTGCGGCCATTTCTGGCCTATTGTATCAGCCCCAGATGATTGGTGAGGGCGATTGTGGAGCAACTGGAGGAATGAAGATTGGCAGGGGAAACCGAAGTACTCGGAGAAAACTTTCCCCAGCGCAACTTTGTCCACCACAAATCCCACTTGGCCAGACCCGGGATCGAACCTGGGCCGCCGCGGTGGGTAGCCAGCAACTAACCGCTTGAGCTATGGCGCGGCCGTTCTGTGCCATTAGTGAGGAGTTCGTCAGACAGCGGAGTACGATGCTTATCTGAGGCCGGGGGACAATTCGGCAACCCAGAGGAAGACAGAACATCCGCCACTACTAAAACCGTTACCAGGCAACGACGGGTGAAGACACAAGCAGACTATAAGACTTTTGAGTATGTGCTCTGGTGAACTGTGAAGTGTGAGTTACTGAAACGGTTATAATCACGGGTCTGTACGAGTTCAATAAATCCGATTAGGCAACGTCATCTTGCTTTTGAATCCACCACTCATGCTACCATCCGACGCTGTCTTCTCTACATACTGTAGACCGTAAAATATCCAATATCTTCTACGCATGCGTGGTCT